GGGGAACGAGCCTGTTTTCAAATCTTGGCTTGATTTTACAAGCGAACGTCTCGGCATTTTCCATCAAGTGGCGAAAATTGAGAGGTGGAGTATTCAACTCACTCGCGGGCGAATAAATGAGCTGGAATTGCATAAAATCGAGCGTAATGGAAGGGTTCTTACCTGGTGGCACAGTTTTTGAAAACGCAGTTTATGCTAATAACCGGGCGCCAACTAATTGCACTGGGTTTGTCCGCTAGGGTTTTATTTACATCCGCCACTACGAAATGGAATCTATGGCTCTCCGAGAACTGGGTCACATTTATCACCGCTTTCAGAGAGCTTTTGAACAGGTACTCTAACTCGCTCGAGCTCTGAAACAAAAGAATTCGAAAAACAGGATTTTTTAATAAAACCAGGGCAAATCAACTAGTAAAATTATCGAGATTTTCGGGGAAAACTGGATGCACCGAAAAAGTAAAGGATGCTGACTTAACATCCTGATGTATAAAAGCTTGAGACAACTCACAAAATGCTGAGTTAACCGCCACATCGGTAAACTTTAGGCCTTGCCTCCACGGGACGTTTTCATGGGATTTGTCCCAAGTTCGAATCGCAGGAATGAAACTTCTGGGATTTTTCCCAATTACAGTCTCCACGGGACGAGGCTCAAACGGTCCTGCGACTAGTTTGCGCGAGAAGATAAATTAGATAAAGTCGAGTATTTAACCGGAATTAAAATAATAATTGCACTCAATTGACAATTGGACACATTATTTTAACTAAACAAACATGAACAATGGAGTATTCAACAAAATATCGCACAATTCGTGTACACTTCTTCTTCCTCTCTCAGTGGGTCCTAGGAGTATAAGGACCATACTTGGTACTGGGAAAAATATTGATTAACTCAATATTTTTCCCAACTTCGTAAGTGGGATTTTCCCCTGGGACAAATCTCGTGAAAAGGCCCGTGGAGACAAGTCCTTACATCTTGACATTGTTATGGTAACCGCTGTGGCGGTTGATTCAGTGTTTTGTGAGTTGATGCACACTTTGTTACATCAGATTTAAGTTGGATTTTAAGTCAGCATCCTTTTTCTCGGTAACGGACAATGGATGGAAAGTAAAAAAAAATTGCGAAAAATGTAAATCTTACGCTAGGAATGGACCACTAAACAAGTTGACACAAGATTATTCTTCGACAAAATTTTGCGCAAGAGACATTGAATATTTTGAAACAGTGATAAATCAACTGATAATTAAAACATTAGTAAGTTCTCAAAATATCACTCCTCCGGGTTTCAGGAAATTTTGTCAACGATTTTTTGTCCGCGCACCTATTTTGTCCAGTAGTTTACACCCACACGTAAAGTAAGCAATGGTGACTTGGTCCAAGCGTTATATGTTAGTCGGTATGTAAAATTTTATTAACAATATGAAATTGAAAGAGAAGGAGGTGTTGTTTGGTCGCTCATTTTCTAAATGGAATGTTACTTTCTCCTTTTGATTCATCTTTTTAAATTGTCATCGTGAATATTTGGTTTTATTTCTATCCTTAAAATATTTGATGTACAATATACCTCATATATGTACAGGTACTTTTTTTTTAATTTTTTTAATTTTTTCTTTACGAAATTATTACTTCATTTTTAAAACATTTATATTTTTAAAATGTGACAAATATTTGTAAAACCTTCTCCAAGCGACATTAATCTCAATGAGCCGCAGTTGAGCCGACAGAAACTGCAAAAATGAATAAAAGGGGAAAAAAACCAAGAAGCACGCAATCTTTAGTTTTAACCCATTTGTACATCGATCTTTTAGAGTCAAATACGTCAAATTGTGAGCGTTTGGTTGCGCGTACACCTCGCTGCAGCACAATAAAAGCACAAAATGTTAAAGAAAAAATTGAGGTGCTTTGGAAATCATTAAATTTGACGCGGTACCACCAATATTTAAAAAAAACACACATTATATTATTTTTCTTCTTTGATGAATTGATACATATTTTTCCCCCATCAAGTTAAATGAGAATAACCAATGCAGAGTGAACAAAAATTTCAAAATCATGAGTTAAAAAACGCTGACTATGCGAGTATAAATATTAACCCTAGTCTACCTGAGTGGGGTCAGATTGACCCCACGGGAGTTTCAACTCTTTGCCATTTCTCGTGGTATGCACGAAATTTTTTGTCCTTCACAAATAGCTCTACAAAGACATCTAGGAACACGATTTTGAAGGGGAAAAAAAAAAGTGCATGAGAGATCAAAAAATTCACGAGTACCCCTAGAAAGCCTGAGCGGGGTCAGATATCCTTATAACATATATTTTACCATTTAGCATCACAAAAGCTTACTTTGAAGGTGTTTTCATTTTTCCCTTTTTAATTTTTTTCAGGAACTTATAAAACAAGCAAAATTTTTCAGTTTTTTTTCGTTTTCAGTATTTAGTAGCCCTATGATTTTTTTTTCTCATGCTGCGAACAACATGGCAACATGTGTATGATAAAATGGTTGCATACCCTACGCCGTGTTTTTCGGTTTTTTGGTTTTTTGGTGGATATGCTTTATGGTTAAGGCCTGTACGGTTAGTGCACTGATATTAACTAAAAACATGAAAAAAACATAGCTAACTAATTGATTTTCAGCTGGGGTTAAAATTGACCCCGCTCAGGCTTTCTCGTTGGTTCAGAGACTCAGGCAGACTAGGGTTAAAGCCTAACAGAGCGGAATGGCGTGCTGCCAGCGCGAGAGGCTCACTGGCGCCTACAAACCTAAGTGGATACTTCACGCATTGCACAATGCTTGAAGTATCTACTTAGGTTTATAGGCGCCAGTGAGCCTTCCTCGCTGGCAGCGCGCCGCTCTGCTGTGGTTTGGCTCTGATGTTTAAACTCGCGTGATCAGCGTTTTCCCCTGACGTATAGATCCTCAGAAAGCGTTAATTTATACGTAGAACGGGGCTCACGTGAAAATTAAGTTACGCCCTTACGTCAGAAGAGCGACGAATTTTTTACATAAGTTCCATGAGATAACGAAAAAACGTTCAATTCTGAAAACTGAAACTCGGTATTTTTTACCTGAATTTGGTAGCATTTACATGAAATCGCTTTCATCGGTTCTTATTAGATGAAATAAAACAAGAGCGGACATTTTAATACACCACAAAGGAGATGTGCATTTTTGCAGTTTAACTGTTAATGTGCATTTTGCAGGAAACTTCGTTCTCAAATACTGCTGCGGTAAGGAAAAACGCCGTAAGAACCCTCAGGCGTTGCCAGCTTTCTTTTTGATTAAACATAAATTTCCTCGGAAACTTGTGAGCACTTGAGTGTGTTGGATAAGTTTCTCGTACTTTCACCTAAAATTCCTGATAATCAAAGAAATATATTCATAAGCTATCCCAAAAATAAACTTTTCATCGAAGGAAATCTGGCAACTCTCGAAAGTTCATACGGCGTTCTTCCACAGCACGGCAGAATACTGCAGGCAACCTCGATGAACTGAGGAATGTGAAGGGAATCCAAACGAATGACCACCGTTCCTACGGTAGCTCTAATAAGCAACTGTGTTGCCAAATGAGACAACTCAATACGACTTTAACGACGGGAACTGATACTGCGATTCGGCATAATCTGGCAATTCCGCTTGAAAAGTAGACGGGAACGAGCATTTTATTTTCCGGTTTATTTCCCTCCGTGAGAGGGGGGGGGTGTCTACCAGGTCGTGTGGACGGAATCTTCGCCGCCACTCGGAGCATTTTCTGCACCGCGAATGTGGGCTTTTTAATTGCACTTTTTTCGGGTCCTCCGTTTTCGCTTTTAATTATGTCTGCAGCGTTACGTCAGGTTCGGCGAGTTCCGCACGGCTGCCTCGACCGAATTTATCCAATTTAGACACTTCCTGTTTTTAAAAGAGATATATGTTGCCATGCTCATTGAAAATAGAGTGCTGGGCTTCCCAAATAATGAGCTAATCCAAGCGCCTGATGAATAAATTGAAAAAATTTCATGCGATCTTACGCATATATGGACTAAATTTTGCGATAAGGAACTACTATTCTTCATTTATTTTGGAAGAATCGTATTAGTCATTGGTTTCCCTATGCAGGTACGCGCTTCCACGGATGAGTCAGAAATAGTTGCTCTTGATTGAAAAATGTAATATGGATGGACTTGTTGCAAACCAGCTACATCGAAAAGAAAAGTCGTTTTTTATAGAAAATGGCTCACAAATTACGATGAGCGTTTCGTGAAAGTATGGAAACTTCACATTCTGCGTAGAATATATCGATGGTGAGAGTGCAGAGGTGCGTACCTCGGAAAACACGATTTTCCAGGAGAATAAAAAGAAGCTGTCTAAACTGCGCGATTTTTTCTTATTTTGTTTCTCGAAATAATAGAAGTGCACGCGCTTAAATTTGCCACTTTTGCAAGCTACCCTCTTTACTAATTGAATCAGTGAGAACGAAAACACCAACTCGGGAAAATGAAAATAATCAAAACACGCGCAAAACTGCACAGAAGGTGAAGGAATTAGTTTAAGAAAACATTTTTGCTGCCGAAAGACGAGTACTTATGGACACTTTAAAGGTCCAGATTGGAATAGATGCGCTAACTGCAATGACCTTCAGGTAAAATAAACTGTCACTAATGGAAATTGAGTATTTTGTAGTCACCGAGTTGGTGTGTTTTCGTTCTAATTGATTCAATTTCTTTTTACTGCAATTTCTGGGGACCATTTGAAAAATAGCGAAAGAAATTATGAAGTTTTCACAAAATGCACTGATACAAAAGTTCCCTTATGGCTATGGATACAGAACGATGGAATCAGACCGCCCCGAAAATATGCTGAACCTCGGGTTTCAGCCACGAAGCCCCGAATGGCTCCACGTGGCAAAACCGTGGCCTCGGCATGACGAATGACTGGAACTTAGGTGAGGAATACTTAATTAATTCGGCATGATTGGGAGTATCCGAACTTTGCCCCGAATTAATTCTTGGATCAACTTTCATTATGAATACAGTCGAGCGCGAGGAGGAACTGCTATTCCGAATCCGGAGAAAGTTCTCGGAACGGGAGAGGAGCGAAAGGTGAGATGCCTGAATTATGACTGTGTGGACTCGAAAGTTGCGAAAACAACGCTACCTTTTCTGCGCGGGAAAGTTTTAATTACTCTTTTGGCGTGCTCTCAGCCCTGGATGTGACTCCGAGGATACGCAGGCTCCCCGGAATCATTGTTTGAAATGTAATTAAAGCCAAGTTCGTGTACGTGCAATCTAACTTCCTCGACTTTTCAACTTCTTTGACGAGGAGAGCTTTCCATTCATAACAGTTCGGACATCGACGTCGGGCCGCGCTCTCATATCGT